TTTCAGGCATTTTGAATATTGAAAATTATAGTGCAAAAATGGAAATCTTAATATGAAAGTTTTAAAATTGAGTTTGTTGTGAAATTGATCTATGGAATTTATAATTATTCCCTGTTACACTCGATACATGATCTACACAATCCTGTCGATTTGAATCAAACGTCAAAAAGAATCAGTTTTGGATAATCATTTCACAGATCATGAATGAATAAATCTGGTATGTCAATCTTCATCTGTACTTCATTCACATAATTTGACAATGTTTGAGGATTGTAATATTTGTCAATCTTTTGTTTGATATACATTTCCATATCTTCAACCTCCATGCCTAGACAGACTGATAAGAACGTACTCTTCTTTTTAAAATAATGCATCACATTGATTTCATAAATATTTGGATCAAACTCATTAATGAGTCTCATTTTCGGGGCCATGTCTTTGATACCTGGTTGTTCTACAATGACATACTTGAAGCATCCATTTATTTTCTTATCAGAATTCCTTGAATAATAGAGGTTCAAGAAATTTTTGATCTGTTTGTTACCACCTTTCTCAAAATCTACGGGTTTCAGAGCAATGTTTCTGTATTTTAATGTGCCATCACCAAGCCTTACCCAAGAAGTGTTCTTACTCCAGTCTATCTCGCTATCAAATTTATAGACTTTTGAATCATCATGTTTAGTAACAAATTTGGTATATAAAATTAATTTATTGTTGATCACCTTCCACCAACCACGTTTGAAGTTTTTATATTGTATCTTATCACATATAGTAGTAATATTTATTTTATCCCCTGACACCTTTGCGTTTTTGGTGAAAATACTAATGTTTGATTTTACATCCTTTGATAAAGCCAAATTTATTATCTCATCCAGAACCTGATCTGCACAATACCGCATTCAGTTGTATTGTCCCCTACACATGAAAAAATTCACATAGTCATCAGTTGTTTTGAGCCCGAGGTAGTACATATATTCAGTCATTTTTTTATAATCATATAAATCAAATAAAATTTGTAAAAAAAATCATTTTAATATAATTACTTAAAAACTTATATACAGTATAAATACGGTTAGATCTTTCTAAGTGCAACTTATTAAATTGCATTTATAAGGGTTAGAAATATATACTTTGCCAGAACTTGAGTTTATATTTAGAGATGTTGTATTTAGAGAGATCTGGCTGTATAATTTTAATTTTAAACTTTAAATATATATTTTTTGATATTTCGTAACTTATTAATATAAATTGCAAGACTAAATACTAAATAGTTTAAGAAAGATCATGATCTAAGATTTTACAAAATAAGTTTTTTTTTTAAATTCTCAATGAAAATTATAAAAAAGGGTTTTCTGATCATTGTGGTTAAATCATCAAATCAACTTGGCGAATCCCTACATAAATATTTTCTTTTTTTCTTATATTAAAGTTTCAATAGTTTTCTGACTGTGATCCAAAACTGCTGAACTGGGAATTGAATTATGATTCTGGTACGTCATGGGTAACAAATACGGGTTAAATTGGTCAAATTACAAATTTGAAAAAATAGTTTACACGTAATTTGTGAATTTTTACATGATTGAGATCAAAATTTTTGGCACGTCTCAAATCTGTGCCAGGTTATGTCGATCACCGAATCGAAAAAACATTAAGAGCAGATTTTAATTTACTTTATATTTGATATTTAG